GCTGAATTTGATGTTTTGGGAGTAAAGTGGGATCGGAATCATTGTCTCTTACTACAGAACATTAGAGCTGAGTTCTGTTAGCGTCAGAATAGAGGATTGGAATTTATTTCAGTGTATCAGAGGCCACTGGATTTAATGTTAGTGGCCTTGGCTTCCTCTTTACATTCAATAAGGAATACATAAATTAACAACAAACTTAACAGAGGAAATTGTACTATTGAGATTGGTCTGCTATATTCCAGGTGGTCATTAAAGAAATGGCTTAGATGGGATTCTAAATCATCACTGAAAAGCATTTGAGACCTTAGTAGAAGTATGTTGTATCCTCTGTAATAAGTGTGGCCAGCCCCATTTGGGGGCAAGTACTAGCCTTTAAGTTCTTAGACTAAATTTTTTTCAACTAAAAATGAAACAGATCCATTGCATCTGAATGTAGTACCTGCCCTTGAGAAAGCAGTGATTGTTAGATTTCATGGTGGTTATTTCTGGCTAAGAACATGCAGTAGTGTGGTTGTCTTTGGAATTTTGAAAGCCATTTATCCCTGAATATGGGCTTCTAAAAATTGATATTTATGGGCTATGAAAAGTGTTATTGGTCTGGGATTTGGAAGACCTGGATTCTAATTCCACTCTAATTACTAACCAGGGACATTGGGCAAGTCACTTCACCAGCCTAGGACAGCTTCCTTAGGGTTTCAAGTATAGAGAAATCTTAGAGTCTTTGTTGATTACTGTTACTATAAAGTTAGGTAGAGCTTACAAGCTGCTAGGCACTACAATATAAATAAATTCTTAGAATTTTCTCATGTGTTGGCATATCATGTTTCTTTAGATCCATTGCTTTCATCTTTTAATTTATACGTTCTTTTCATTCTAGTACTCTTGTCCATCTGTTCCCTGTTGTGTGATCCCAATCCAGATGATCCTTTAGTGCCTGAGATTGCTCGGATCTACAAAACAGATAGAGAAAAGTAAGTATGTCCTCCAGACAGAAGAGTTCCTGTGGTGGGATGGAGATGTTTGTATCTCAAATCTTTCTTAACTGAGAGCTGGGTATGGGTCAGATATTTAAATTTATATCACCTAGGGACAGGAAAGAGGAGTATTTGCATGAATTTCATTATAAATAGATTATCTCGATTTCAGATGACTCCTGTCTAGAAAAACTTCTACAGTATACTTTCTGATAGCTTTATGTCTTCTTGGCTTTTGACATAAAGCATTTTGCATCAAAAGCCCATTCATTTGTCTTAGGCATTTGAAAATTAATGGGGAAAGGAAATTGTTTTCCTACCATTTGGCATAATCTTAAAAAGAAAGTGAATAAATGCCTCAAGACACAAAAGCCCTAAATTTCCTTCAAAAACAAAACTTGGTATAGAATTTACCTATTTTAGAATTATACTTTGGATTATTAAAAATAGGATATCAAGAGAGATAGTAATTAAAAGATTCTAATCTTTTTTGTTTGGTATATTGTTCAGTAAGATAGAAAAAAATAGATGGGAAAGA